TGTGAATGAATATAAAGTAAAATAATGGTTGGAGACGGCTTGAATGAGTAATGAAGAAAAACTTTAATATAAGTTTAACATTACAGCAAATGTTACGTTAGACTTATATTAAAGTTTTTCTTCATTACCCATTCAAGCCGTCTCCAACCATTATTTTACTTTATATTCATTCACATTAAAATATTAGTTTAAGGAAATTATTATTTAAAGTTTAACAAGAAGACTTATTACTACAGAATAAAAGAATAACAGTAACCCATTTCTGGTGTTTAGATTTCTTAATGGCTTCAACAAATTACTTCTGAGTTATCTGATGGGTGGAACAAAAATGTTAGGAAAATGAACCTGAATATTGAGGATTTATTAGAACACAAAAAAGTGTGACAGTAAACTTTAGTTTTAGTCAAGCTTACTAGAACCTTCAAATTTGAAAATAAACTTTAGGTTCAGTAAGGATTGGACATTTTTGCAAGTACATTTTTAATGTTTGTTTGTTTCAGGGCAAAGCCACATTAGGCTATCTGCTGTGTCCACTATGGGGAATCAAACCTCAGGTTTTAGAGTTGTAAGCTATTAAACTTACCATTGTCCCACTGAGGGGACATATTTTTTTTATTAACATACTAGTGAGAAAAATATGTTACCAGTATGGCAAAAAACTACTAAATTCTATAAACAGGTTCTCTGGAATTTGTACAGTGTTAACAAGACATTTAATCAACTTTATAACGTATTTCTCAGGTACCACAATTCCTCAAAGCAAAAGATTAAGGACATAAGAAAACATCATCCACTTCTGTAAAAATATCAGTGAGTATGAAAACCTCTAAAATCCTGGTGGTTGCTCCTGCTCCAGGAAATTCCAGCTTACTATCACAATTATCAGTTTGTACATTTGATAAAACACTTTTATTTCCCAAGTTCTTTTCACGGTCGACTTCTCTAGCAGGTTCTAAACCTCTCTGGCTTATACTAGACGGTGGTGTCGGTAAGTAACCACTTTGGGAATTTTCACGTAGGTTGTTTTTTAAACTGGTGGCTCTCAGCGGGAATTCGGTGTTTTGTGGAGCAAGTTCGGGAAATTCAGTGAAAAGCCAGTGACGATCTTTAAAAAATCGGTTTTGATGTATTCCATAAAACTTGTTCCAATATTCAAAAGCTTCAGTTTCATACTTTTCTAAGAAAAATGATAATAATTTCGATATTAGACTCGTGAAGATCAATGCTGCAAACAATTTTATATTTAAACTTTTCCACAAAAAGATTTATAGTATTTCTATTATAACTTTTAAGTTTAAAACTAAACCTAAATATATGCTATTAGTCATCATATTCAATAAAATATGACTCGTACCACCCCATCTTTTGCCAACTACTATAATGTAGACATGTATTTTTTCTAGTGCAGTTGAAAAACTTATACATAACCTTGGAGAAACTTTGTCTATAAGAACAGTTTTTATTAGTCAATAAATATGTATCTATAAATTCATAAAAGAGAATTTATTCTGAGCAACAGTTAATGGGAAAACACTTTGAAAGATATATTTTACGTTTTTCTTCGTCTTTTAATGACACAGTCACGGGCAATGTGTAAAATTCAATTACTTTTCCACGGAATTGTACTTTTACCTCTTATTTTACTTAGCAGTGGTTGAGACACCGTGGCTGTGACACACAGTATTTTACTCATTATTATAACCCAATTCCAAACATTTTGTGTCATTAGTGTTTTGATTCCTGTTAGTACTAGGTTATACTACCATTTGTAGCCTATCTTGTTTTAACTCTATGAAATGTGCTAGTGAGCAAACTCAGTTGTCATCATTTACTTTGTAGTCAATCAGAGATCCTGTTAATAGTGATTCTATTACACACATCTCTCTCCAAGGTTGAAAGTCAGGAAGCCAGCTTGTTGCGTAGAGCCATAATCCACAGCTGAGATTAGCCATAATCCACGGTTTAACAAACATGGAAGAAAATAGCTGACAGCTTGTTGCGTAGAGCCATAATCCACAGCTGAGATTAGCCATAATCCACGGTTTAACGAACATGGAAGAAAATAGCTGATCAGAAAGTGAAAATGATGTTGATCATGTTGAAGAATAGTTGGACGATGAAAACAATACTTCATTTGAACCACAATCAGAAGTGCCATCATGAAGATGGGAGGGAAGAGATGGTCAAGTTGCTGGTGATAAGACCAATTCCACAACATTTCTAACAAAGTGTTGTAAAGAAAAATGTTTTTCGGGTATTGAGAGGTTTTTGGTTATAAATTTGGCTAAATATAAAGCCAGTTCAACACAATTCTATCATTTTTAGGATGGGGAGTAAATGCATCCCATGTGGCATACCTAAGATGGAAAGTGACATGGAATGTGGAAGGTTAAAAGCAACATACTTTGTAGCCAAGCAGAGTGTTTTTATATATACTTAAAATGTTTAGTATGAACAACGGAAATGAAGATTTGAAATACTTGCTTTTAAATGGTAACAAGACATTACCTTTTCAAAAGAACAGTAGTTGTTTGTGTTTTTGAACGTACTAATAATGTTTGCATTAACATATTGACCTTTTCAATTTTTAATACTGTAAGGACAGAAACATAAGGATTTGGTATTGTAGTCCTCACATAGTTTTTCAATTGCTACAAGAAAGAAAATCTCTCAGCTCATGCTGATGCGAAAGGGATAAGGATATAAATCACAAACAGACGACCAGATTCAAGAGAGTATTTCACATTTTGTGATAGAATCACTTTTCTTTTCAATGGCTTAGTACTGTTAATTAATTAATTTTTTGTAATTAAATCATTAGCATATTTTGTAGTTACACAATTAAATCATTAATATATGTTGTTGTTACGCAATTAAATCATTAATATATGTGTTGTTGTTACACAATTAAATCATTAATATATGTTGTTGTTACGCAATTAAATCGTTGATATATGTTGTTGTTACACAATTAAATCGTTAATACATGTTGTTGTTACACAATTAAATCATTAATATATGTTGTTGTTACGCAATTAAATCGTTGATATATGTTGTTGTTACACAATTAAATCGTTAATACATGTTGTTGTTACACAATTAAATCATTAATATATGTTGTTGTTAAGCAATTAAATCATTAATATATTTTGACATTTATTAGAACTTGATGTAAACATTTTTGAATAAAAACTACATTACTATATATAAATTGCTTTATGTATCTTCTTTTTTTATCTGTTTTCAATTTAAATTTTGTTACAAATCTAGTGTCTATCTTTATTGAAGAAAAGGAAATATATAATTTTCAATGGTCTGACTCACACTGTCAACAGAAAGGTTGGATTGTATAACATAAAGTAACAAGACTAAGCCAGCATCCGCTGAGCAGATCATAAAACTTTCATTAAGTGATGTCAAGAACAGAAGCTCATTGGAAGTTGTATGCTACCCATGAACTACCATATCTAACAATGGTACTTAACATGTATGCTACCCATGAACTACCGTATCTAACAATGGTACTTAATGTGTGTGCTACCCACGAACTACCATATCTAACAATGGTACTTAACATGTAATGTATTAAGTACCATTGTTAGATACAGTAGTTCATGGGTAGCACACATATTAAGTACCATTGTTAGATATGGTAGTTCATGGGTAGCAGTGTGCTACCCATGAACTACCATATCTAACAGTGGTACTTAATGTGTGTGCTACCCATGAACTACCGTATCTAACAATGGTACTTAATATGTGTGCTACCCATGAACTACTGTATCCTAACAGTGGTACTTAATGTGTGTGCAACCCATGAACTACCGTATCTAACAATGGTACTTAATATGTGTGCTACCCATGAACTACCGTATCTAACAATGGTACTTAATATGTGTGCTACCCATGAACTACCATATCTAACAATGGTACTTAATAGTACAGAAATTTTCAGGTTTATTGGTGCTTATAATAAAATGGCCAAAGGGGTACATGCATATATGTCTCTCTCTTTTCTAAAATGATAATGTTCACCAGTAGAGGTGGTGTTGTATTTTCAGAATGAAATGTTACTTATCTGCATCATGTTGAGAAAGTCTGTTAGAAGCATAAATGTAATAAGTTACGCTGTTTGGCAAGTCAATGTACAGACATACATTATCTACAAGCATGAATAAAATATACAGTTACATAAATGTTGTATATATATATTTAAAGTAGAGAGTGTGATACACATTGAACAAATAGAAAGTTAGATCTGAGCAACAGAATACTTGAGTGAAATAACATTCCTAGTTTACCCCTAATGATGGAAGGTCCACCTTTCACAGACACTGAAGTTACATATTTTGGTCACAAACAAAATATTGTACTCTTGTAATGTTGAAAAGCTCTTACTGCGAAAAAAAGTAATTAACATACAACTTATATGTACTGAACCATAGCTTTAATGAAAAACACAGTCAAAATATATCAAAAGAATAGCCAAAAGAACGGAATAGCCAAAAGCACATGTAAAAAATGCAGCTTTAATGTGATTTTTTTTTGTTTCTGGACAGAAATTTCCTAATTCAACCTTACATCATAATAATATGAACGTTTACCTTCTTTTCAAGTTTCTATGGACTAATATTGAGATGCTTTGATGTCTATAAGGTACCATAACGTAGTGATCAGTCTATATCTTAGCCACATACTAGACTTTTCATCCTGATATGAGTTTATACAATTATTTTTTCACTCTGTGTTCTTTAATATTTGTTATTTTGATGCACATTTTAATTTGTTTAATTCTGTTAGTTCAATATGGCACATATAAATAAAACTTTACCTGAAATTTCCACAATAAATCTTGTTACATTAAGTTGTATGACATCTGTAGATGTAGTAATGTATATTAAGTACATCGCTCCCAATAGTAGCCATCTACACATGGCTCCCAATAGTAGCCATCTACACATGGCTCCCAATAGTAGCCATCTACACATGGCTCCCAATAGTAGCCATCTAAACATGGCTCCCAATAGTAGCCATCTAAACATGGCTCCCAATAGTAGCCATCTACACATCACTCCTAATTGTAGCTATATGTACATCGCTCCCAATAGTAGCCATCTACACATCAGTCCCAATAACAGTCATCTACACATCTCCCCCAATCATAGCCATCTACACATCACTCCCAATCATAGCCATATACATACTGTTCCCAACTGTAACCATCTACATACTGCTCCCAATTGTAACCATCTACACACTACTCCCAATCATAGCCATATACACATCACTCCCAATCATAGCCATATACACATCACTCCCAACTGTAACCATCTACACACCACTCCCAACAGAGAAGCACAACCATACCTTGTAAAAATTCTGGTACCCTGACTTCTGAGTTCTTAGAAACTCTTTCTTGTGCTGCAGCTTCCTGTTCTAAACTCCACTCAACGTTGTCCCTAAACAACAAAAACAGTAAATATACACTACTTTACATTAACCACACAAAAGAAGTAAATTTAGTCACCTTCCTTAATTTTTAATCTTGAAATTTGGTATTTGTCTTGGCTACATTTGCATATCACCTTTTGGGTAATTTAAGAATAATACAAATATTAATTAAAGGGAATAATTCTGAGATCACTTTCAAGAAATTTTAAATTTAATAAGTAAGAAAATTATTATAAGGATATTGTGTCGTCACTTAAAATACTCTCTGTTACAAAATCAGTAATAAATTTTGGGAACATAGAAGAACTAGAGGTGACTTGAATTAAGTATGAATTAATCAAAATTATTTTAAGCGTTATTTGTTTAGATATATGTATAAATGTGCATGTAAATGGCACGGTTTAGTTTGGTTTAATATTCTTGTTTCTTGTTGGAGGAGTGATATTTGACTGTCATCTTGATCCTTTGTTTTTTCTTGTATAAAAGGAGCACTGGAGTTGAGAGAGAAAACGTAGGATATCGATATTAAGCAAAGATACACTTGTGGTGTTGATATTTGAAAAGCACATATCATTTAAGACATAAGAGCAGTTAATATGTGCAAATGTCCAACAGTTTTATGGAATTTGTTACTCCTTAAGGTAATTAATTTCTTGAAAAACAAAGTTTATGGCAAGCAATTATAAACTATATTAGCTCTCACAATTATTAACTGTCATATTGTCTATGACTTGAAGCAAAAGAGAATATATAAGTGGATTTTATTTTTTATTAGAAATTACACACATTCTAGTATAACTGGTAAAAATGTTTGTTTGGGAGAAATTCATAACAGTTGAAGATAACAAAAACTTTAATGGAAATAAACTGATACATTATATAATCTGCCAACACCATGTCTATAATCGGGTATATCACATATTCTTGCACAAACTTTGTGAAACTATAGAATGGTAAATTTCAAGTGATTCATTAGACCACGAGATAATTTCATTATACACTATTTATTAACCAATGTTCAAAATACAAAGTTCTAACTTTTTCGGTTTATGTTAACCAAAACGTTAGCTCTAAATCAATAATTCTGGTTGAAAATTGAAGTAGTAGGGACAACCAGACACTTTAAGTATTTGGGAAAAGTAATATCATATGCATAAAAAATACATATAATTGCCCAATAATTAAATATTTGGTTCTTAGGCTAAAGTTAGTAAACTTATGTTAACAGTCAGGCTTAAAAATCAGATGAAATAATGGATACAAGTATAACAGTTTTGGCTTTTACGAGTGGTATTGTCTTTTCCAAATGTTGAACTGATATAATTCAATCAGTATGCATAATTTAAATTTCAGTCTCTGAGATTGTGAGAGTCAATCAGGTGAACCTAAAACTAAGTAAAAGTAAAACTAAAAACAAAATGTAGATTGTAAATGTAATTTGTGAGGTTGGTAAGTCTGAGAAAACTTTCTGTCATTGTTATATTTGGTTCATACGTACCATGCATTATGTTCAAACACCGAATTTTTATCTGTTAAATAACGATTACCAAACTGTGGCCTTGTATCAGTTCCTCCTTTCATAGTAACGCTAATATCACAATCATAGTTCTCATTCATATTCCCAATACGAGCAGCCATGTTCCTAGAAAACAACACCGCCCTCTACAAGAGCCTGAATGTAGTTTATGATTTAAATAAATATATATATAATAGAAACTGTGATGAACAGCATTCGATACGCTGTAGTCTAGTTCAAGGAATTCGCATACATTTAAAACAGGGAATCCCTTTCATGGACCTTAACAACGAGTAACACCTCAATGTTTAGGTATCAAAAGAAATAAATTAAATACATTTCTTGCTATAATAATGTATTCTAACATGTACAGTTTATTTTCAATAAAACCAAAAACAAAGTGTAGTACGTCTAACTGTCGCAATAGACTGTTGACAAAACCTGTTTTGTTGATTAAACATCTGCTTGAATAGCAGAGCCACGTATTTGAGTACATTCTCTTCTCGGTTTTCATCCTTTTACAAATATAATTCCAGGTAGCTCTTCATATCTAGCTTCTGATGACCTGTAGAGAAGAAATTCCAGATGACTTTTGTATTACTTGAATACGGGCGCCTGTGCCATCTCTACATAGAGAGTACTAGTGCACTCTCCGATCAACGGCCACAGTTCCCTCTAGCTAACAAACAAATCACATAATTAAAAATATATATCTTATAACACTAGGTATATTTAAAACAACATTTTAAAAATCACGGTGATGATTTTCACAAGGCTATTTTTCGATTTTCTTTCACAAATCTAAATTGAGAATTATATAAAACAGGCTATATTAATGTAATTTTATAGATATTAATGAAATGAATTGCTATTGAGACTGAAATAAAATAACATATAAAATGAATTATTGTAAAAGTTGATATGCTTCGCAAATTTACATCGTTTTTGCTATAAAATATTTTGGGACGCTCTGGATAGCTGAAAAGCGGCATATACATTGGAGATAGAGCGACTGGAGATTTCTTATTTTCGTTCATCACCATCTTTCTTCAACATGCCTAGCGCTTACCTAGTTCTAGCAGTAACTATAATTTTATCATCATTTCATGTAGGAAAACAGTGTTCATGATCTTTGACTACCTATTTTGTTATTATTCTATGCAAAATTTATAAAGCTTTAGAATATAGTCTATAACTTGGTAACCCACGTACGCCATCTTATTAAAAAAGTAAACAAACAAGTATTAGGAAAAGAAATTATCGCTAAATAAAAAGCTATGTAGGGCTAGCTACTGAACTTGAAAAAAGGAGCCAAAGAAGATAGGGGTGGAAGTGGACATATCACTTGATCGGCTAATGATCACATAGCAGACTAAGTTGTCTCGACTTTACATAGAGAGTAAAATCCCTACACATAGCGGGTTCCATTGAAATATAATTTTAATTTATAGTATATAATAATCTTAAATTATGTCTCCAGAACTCCAATGTTTTCTATGACATGTCATTGTTACTAAACGACTCCAGCTTTTGTATTGTTACGTCTCCAGTTGTTAATTGATTTTCTTTAAATTCGTTCCCACGAAACTTTAGCAACACAAGTCCTTTCTTAATAAAACTGGTTTATTCTTTCCGAATATAACTTTACCGATACACTTATTTTCAACAGTCGCTCTATAACAAACGCTATAACAACGAACTTCAACAATACTTTCTGACTGCAGTTCAATTACTCACTACTTACACACACATTGTTCCCGTCA